ATTATTATTAAAGGACGTTTGATGTTGGTTCCACCTTCTTTTGAATTCATTCCTTGTGCATCCAATGTAGAATTTAACCATGTCTGGATCTTCAATAGATGAGATATTGCATTGATAAACTACTGATTCAATATGACATTTATTATTAAGAGGACAGTTTTGAGGATTTCTACAGTTACATAATTTTTCTTTATCTTCATTTCTTTTTATTTTAGGATCTATATTTTTTTGATTTTGGTATAAGTGTTTATTCAAGATATTAGCATTATGTTTCTTAATAATCATTTCTAAGTTTTCAGTACAACTGTAACTTAATTTTAGGGTATTTTTATTAAAAATTGTACTGAGTTTATTATCTCTAGGAAAATGTTTATCAATTAATGCAAGGAATTTTTGTCCTAACTTATTTCTTACCATTTGGTTGTATGGGGGTGTATACCAAATGATTTTTCTATTTCTATTTTTTCTATGGTGTCCATTTTCATTTTTTATATAATTGAGTTTTGGGCATTTATAGCCACTATTCTTTAGAGCTTTATTATAGAAATTACTATGTTCATAGAATATTTTCTCATTTGCTGAATTTGTACTTATTCTTTTTTTGATAGATGAAGGTATATGCTTAATTATAGATGGAGGATGATTAGATTTAGGTGTATATACAAAGGATTAGTATTGGGCTTTTTGTAAGGTATGTATATATTAGTCATTAAATCTAATGTTATATCAAGGAAGTTAACTTTTTTCAATTTAGTATTTACAGTAATTTTTAAGTTTAGGCATTTAAATTCTCTGTGTAATAGTTTTCTAATTTTATTCATTTTAAAGTTAGTAGAATTCCTTACAACCATAAGGCCATCATCTCTATACAATCCACTGTCATTTATACTAATTTTACAATATGCAGTAAGATTATATAATATAAAAAAAACAATAAGGTCAGAAGACTCTGCAGAGTCCAATGATTCCATTGTGATGTTGAAGTGGTCATTAGAGTTTTTAATCTATTGCTTGCCCTTATGAATGAGTACTGATTTATTCACATTCATAATTATGTTTTTCTCTATTTCTGTTATGTCAGAGTATTGCATAGCAAAATCCATAACATTCATGAAAAGTTCCTTTGATATCGATTAGTAGTAATTCCCAATATCAAACTGTATTAGTGTACAATTTGGTTTCTCCTTAATATTAGTAAACCAATTAGTAACTTCTTTGGTATTGATCCAAAGCTTTAATCCTAGGTAATCCTTTATTTGTTGGTTGACCCTTTCTATGATTTTCTTACTAATTCTGCCAATTTCAGGTTGGGTTGGGTTGATAATTCTTGTATTCGGATTAACTTTGAAATTGGGTTTATGATCCTTTATGGTTATATAGCACTCTTTTCGCTAAATTTACTTACTGTATCACTAATATTCAATTTATTTGTGTTTTTTTTTTTACTACTAATATTAATTTTTTCCACCATATTCACATAATTATTACTAGCCTTTTTATAGTTCTTATTTAAATCTTTTTTAATTAGGTTGTTTTCTGTTGGTGTTAATTTATAAAAATTTCCTGTTTATCCAATTTCATTAAAATTTTATCAGTTGCCTCTTTCAATATCTTGTCCAGACATTTTTGGAAATAGCTTTTCTTTTTTTGGAAAGTTATGTTATTTATTATTTCCAGTAAATCATTTTCAAATCCAGACAATTTTTGAATGCATGGTGCTTTTTTCTTACTGTTAAAACCATATGCTTCACGTTTGTTTGATAAGTTATTCCATCCAATATTATTTTAATATATATGTGTGTGTGTGTGTGTGTTATTTATTTTGGGATATTAAAACAAAAACATTGGGTGGGGGGGTAGGTAATGGTTATGTTTCAAATTATTTTAATGGCTATTGAGTAGAAATAATTGTGAATCTAAATGCAGTTATATGTAGCTAATTTATAGCATTGTTTTTTAACTTTTTTACTCATTATTTATTATTGATTATGTTTATACTCCATTTCTTCTCATTTTACCTGGGGATATATATATATATATATATATATATATATATATATATATATATATATATATATATATATATTGTATTGGGCAGCAGATCATTATTTAAACATATATTGTTAAAATAACAGACAATGAATGTCTGTTACATCTGATCATGACTCATTCTAATGTTCATATGTTTGCTTTAATTTTGGGTGAAAATAAAGACAAAAATTGTCCAACATTTGGATAATTTTTAAGTTGGTCCTTGATCTGAGTTTTCGGCTCAAATGAGTCTTCTTCAGAGTAGTTATGGTTATTATAGAACTGCATCTTGAACTTACGATCTACATCTGCTATTCTGCAACTGTTATTGTTGCATAGCAATCTTCTATGTCAACATAACAAAATATTATCTTCGATGGTGAATATATTTGTTAAAATGTCCATATTACCACTCTTAATACTGTATTATTATGAATAAAAGGTTAGGGGGTTTGATATGTATGTGCAAACACACCAACACAACTTAATAGGAACATTGTAAGAATAATCATTTCTGTTCCACACTCTCTTTTTCTGATTATCTTTACCTTCCTTTCTTCTACCTGAGCAATATTAATAGAATAAATAAACACAAGTTCAACATTATTCTATATTGTTTCATATTAGTAAAGATTCTTTCTCAAAATGTCTTTTTAACAGGCTGCTATGAAGCTTAGCAGTTATTATATATCTACTTGCTAGCTTCAAGCAATTTCAAGCAATTTTACAGTTTTATAAGTTTCACACAGAAATTTTATCAGAAGTTTTTTTTCATCAATTCACCCCAAACAAGATGATAATGCCACTAAGATGCAAGGGACTACTGGGAGTGAAAGAGAATCAAAAGACTTTAGAATGAATTGGAAACCCAATCCTAAACAGGAAAAAAGGGATAAACCTCTACTCTTGTTCAAAAGACTGGGAAGTGTGTAAACCGGATGATAGACAAATCTATCTACACTCATTGAAGATAAAAGTAAAGAAATAATAATTAAAATTTTATTTTTAGGTGGAGACATTAGAAGTATATAGTTGAAGTATAGTTTAGAAGGAAACCCAATCCTAAACAGGAAACAAGGGATAAACCTTTACTCTTGTTTAAAAGACTGGATAATAGGTAAACATACTGTTCCCTCCAAAAGTATTGGAATTGAAAGGCCAATTCCTTTGCTTTTGTTGAAAAGATGAAAATGAGAAAAGAGTCCAGAATTTCAGCTTTAATTTCCTGGTATTTCTATTTAGATGTGTTAAAAAAGTTTTGTATTAGGTCACCCTAATTGTAGGTGAGCAAAATTAAAGGAACAGATAGTTTTAATGTAAATAACATTTAATATTTGATTGCATAACCCTTGCTTGCAATAAGTGCATCAAGCCTGCAACCCATTGGCATCACCAAATTGTTGCATTCTTCATTTGTGATGCTTTTCCAGACTTCTAATGCAGCCTCTTTCAGTTCTTGTTTGTTTTGGGGGTTTCTTCCTTCAGTACCCTCTTCAGGAGATGAAATGCTACTGTTTTACTGGGTTATAGTCTGATGATTGACTTAACCAGTCTAAAACTCTCATTTGTTGTGCTGTCCTGCTGATAAACTTCCACCCAATTAGTTTGGATGCATTTCTCTGTAAATTGGCAGACAAAATATTTCTATAGACTTCTGAATTTATTCTACTGCTACCATCATGAGTTACATTATCAATAAATATGAATGAGTCTGTTTCTGAAGCATCCCTGAATGCCCAAACCAAGATACTGCCTCCATCATGCTTCACAGATGAGCTTGTATGCTTTGGATCATAAACAGATCCATTCTTTCTCCACACTTTGACCTTTCCATCACTTAGCTAGGGATGATCTCATCAGTTCATAAAACTTTCTTTCATAACTTTTGTCACTCATCCTTGTAAATTCCAATCTGGACCTTTTGAATTATACAGTTGATGAGTAATTTACATCTTGTGGTATATCCCATGCATTTCTGTTCTCAAAGTCTTCTTTGAATGGTGAATTGTGAAATCTTCATTTCTGAACTGTGGAGGTTGTTGGTGAGATTACTGACTGTTATTTTGGGGGTTTTCTCCCACAGCTCTCACAATGTTTCTGTCATCAACTACTGTTGTTTTCCTTGGTCACTGTGTTCTATGTCTGTTCAGTACACCAGTAATTTGTTTCTTTCTCTGGACATTCCAAACTGATGTTTTGGCTATGCCCAATGTTTGATCAATGGCTCTGATCAATTTTCCTTCTTTTCTCAGCTTCAAAATGGCTTTCTTTTCTCCCATAGACAGCTCTCCTGTCTTCATGTTGGTTTCTTTATAAGAAGAAATGCAGTCTTTACATGTGAAGCCTAAGGTTAAAACCAAGAGTAGTCATTCAGAGCTATTTAATGTTTAAACAGTCAATCTAAAAGGCAACACCTGGGCAACAAGGCACACCTGTCAGACATATGTTCCAACAGTTTTGCTCACTTGAAAAATAAGTGCATTCAAACAAAACGTGGTAAATACCAGGAAATAAAAGCTGAAATTTTGAATTCTTGTCTCATATTCATCTTTTGATCTTAAACCCAAATGTCTTCAGTGATCAACAAAAACAAAGGAATTGGTCTTGTCATTCCAATACTTTTGGAGAGAACTGTATCTATTCCTATTTAGGAAGAAAAATAAATAGTAAATAAAATTTGTGAGTTTATTGATTGATTTGTTTTCTATGGTTTATCAACTCATTGCAGATTATTTCAAGACAGAAATTTTTTTTTTTGCAGATTGTAAGAATTTTTTTTTGTGATAATAATTGTTTAGTATTAGAGGTCTTACTAATTAACCCATAGCTGGGTGGAGAATAGGTGGATTCATACCTTTCCCAAAGTTATTTGTGCCTAAATGAATATAACGAACCCAATGGGAATTGGAACTTGGTTGTCTGATTAACAATTCCGAAACATTATCCAGTTCACAACCTGCACATACATGCTTGCAGTACCTGATATTCCCAAGTGGTCACCCATCTAAGTACTGACCATACTCAACGTTGCTTAACATCAGTGATCATACCAGTGTTTGAACATGATGTGGCGATAACTTCAGATTTTAGGTAGACATTAGAAGTATAGAGTTGAGGTATAGTTTAGAATGAACCGGAAACCCAATCCTATACAGGAAACAAGAGATAAACCTCCTCCTGTTCAAAAGAGGTGAAAAAAATTTTTTCAAAAGTGTAAAAATTCTTAGAGACAAAGTTCCACATTAGAGTTCAGTTTAAAAAAGGTGAATTTAAGGAGCGTTTTAGTGGAAGCAAAAAAGAATTTAGTAAAACTAATAAGGTATGAACCAATGCTTTAGTCAACTAGACTGTTGATCTATGATCACCGATGGCCGAGTAGTTCAAAACATGACCTAAAACCTCCACTTACTTAAGATACCTTATTTTATTATATTCTCACAATCAAAATCTACTAAACATAATAAAGAAACTTAACAATGTAGAACCTATCTTTCAATTCACACAGGAATTTGAAATATACAAATTTCTACCTTTCCTTGATGTCTTATTAATATGTAAAATTAACAAATTAGATTTTAGCATTTACTACAAACTTACTAATAATAACAATCAAATCAATTTCTATTCCCACCACAGTCAAAAAATAAAATCAGAACTAGTAACAGGATTTTACCTCAGAGCCCATAGAATATGTAACCCAGAATACATGGGTGAAGAATAGAAATACATTGAAAAAAAACATTTAAAATTCTTCCTTACACACATTATTTCATCCTCATTGCTGGAAAACAACCATACAAAATCCACAAATCTAGACAACTAGACACTTCCGATAGCACTTCTAGCATCACCAACACAAAATTCATGATACTACTTTCCAACATTCTCTCTACAAAATTTGAAAATAAATTAGTTATATCCAATATTATGGTTTTCACTGCCACCCCCAAAACAATCAGAGATATAATTAGGAAGAAAAATAGATCAGTACAGATTCTGAACTAAAAATAAAATGTTTGCAATGTAAAAACACTTACATTGGTGAGATATCTTGAAATCTAAAAGCTAGTATCTACGAACATAAAAAGTGATCTATGTTGGAACAACCCTTTAAACTCACTTTTAATACACAGGAACAAAACTGGCCATAACTTTGATTTTACAAATGCCACCCTAATTAAAAAAAAACATAATTTTTTATGTAGAAAAACACTTTGAGGGATTCTTGGTGTATATTTTACCAACTATAAAAACGCATCCAAATCAGTATATTCCATCAACCTTTATTAAATCCATTCTTAAAGAAACTAACATATGTTTACCTACCACAACCACCAAACAAATAATACCTACTAGATACACACAAATATTTATTATCATCCAAATCCCACAGACAAACTAGAATTATGATACACTTATCATATATAAAGCAATATTTCTCTTTTTCAGTTAGGCTTGGAATCATTTAATTTTTTTGAGCTCTGAAAGGATACATTGTCTCTCTTTTCAGAATGCCGTAAATTATACTAATGCTGTTTAACAAGTCAAATGCCCATGAAGCCTGCTTAACCAATGTAAATCAAACAATACATAAATAAAAATACCAGAATATATTTTCTTTTATCCATATCTCATTCTCTGAAGCTTTAATAAAAGTGAATCATTTTAGATTGATAAATGGTACCTATTTGTTTTTTATCCTATAAGATGTATATATATAGTTTAAAATTTGCTATATTTATGGTGGGAAATGTTCACTATCAGAAATCAAGTGTTTGTAGATATAGACTCAACACTGCATGGTGGCCCAGTTTCCTGCTTCAAGCAATCTTCAGATGGTCTGAAAATTGCTTGAGGCAGGAAACTGACAGTTACCATACAATATTGCTTGCTTGCTTTCTCTCTCTCTCTCTCTCTCTCTATATATATATATATATATATATATATGAGAGAGATCGAGGAATATTTGCACATGACATTTTCCCATGTTATAATTTTTCCCTCAACTGTTCTTCATAGTTCAAGTAAAAACTTTGTAAATTGTTTCAAATGATATTTATATAAAATTCTGACAATTTTCTGCATAAGACCATTTTTATTTTAGCTTTTTATTTAATAATATCTCTGTGTCTCTGTCTTTACATTAATAATGATTCTTATTTCCTCAGTGGTTTTCATCTTTTCCTCAACTAATCTAAGTTTTATAAATATTTATCTACTAATATATCTTTAAGGAAAACTGAATAAACTATTAATGGAAAAACGTCACAGAAAACCAAAAAGAAAGGACTGACCATTAATTGCCAAAAGATAGAATTCATAGTTGTGAGTAAAAAGGACAAGTCAAGATGTTAGTTACATATTGGAGATGTCAAAATTAAGAAAAGCAAAAATTCAACTCTCTGGATACTGGAATTATATACTATGGAAAGCATCTTGATTCATCTGTTTTTATGGCTTATCAAGCTCATACAGGTTATTTAAAGCCAGAAAATATTTTTAGATTGTAATAATTTCTTAGAAATAATAATGATTTGCTCATACAAGTCCTACTAATTAACCCACAGCTAGGAGAGAAGAAGTTGATTCATACCATTCCCAAGTCTATTTCTCTGTAAGTGAATATGATGAACCTGACTGGAACTCTGTTTTCTGATTTCCAACTTTAAGCTGTTATCCATTATACCAAACACACATCCAAACTTACAGCACCTGGTTTTCCCAAGTGATCTCCCATTTAGGTAATGATGTTGCTTAACTTTGGGATCATATGAAAACTAGTGTTTCAATGTGTTATGGCCATAAGCTTTTTATACAGTTTTCATTGAAGATGATCGACAAGGCACTGCTACTAAAATTTTTATTGTATTTTTCTTGTGTTCATACAAGAGATTTCTTTTTCAAACATAGAGTGGGTAAGAAAGGTTCAAATGATTTTTAGATTTGAGCATTTTCAGCACATCTATTAGTCATTATCAAGGATGTTTTGTATTATGCCTTAATTTGTTGATTTTTATAGAGCAATGAAAATGTTTTAATTGCTGAACACAAACAGAACATTATGTGTATGCATATAAGGAGTGCTAAAATGTTCTCATCCTGCCAAAGAAGAGATTCACTCAAAATTCTGATGTTTGTTAAGGGGACTGGGTCCAAGCAATTTTCAGCACCTACTCATATATATATTTATCCAAACAAGTTTGATTAAGAAGAACCAAGAAAATCTGTATTTTTTATTGTATTTTTCCAATTTTCAGATAAGGTGTTGAGTATTGTCCTCAAAGTTATGGATAAACTGTCCAAAGTTCATATTTTGTTATTTTTTGTTCAAGTACTTTCAACTTTTACAGTCATTATCCTGTATGGTAGTTAGAATTCCTTTGTCTGTACTCTGGTATTCTTTAGGAAGCTGGACATTTGAAATGGTCTAGCATGACAACTATTGGGAATCAGGCTGCAGATAAAGAATGTGATTTATTTATGATCAATGTGTGCATGGATTGCACTAAGTTGCGACAGGTGACAGGTCAATCTGTGAGAGTGTGATGGATATGTGCCCAATGTAAATATTTAATATTGATTTTTGATTATTATTGTTGGACATGCAATCTCCCAGGGGAGCATGAGAATTCATAGACAACATTATTTTTACATAGACGGATTTTAAGGCAGGGTGTTATTGGTAATAATTAAGTTAGATGTTTTAAACTTACAGTAGTAGATGATAAGTCTTAGGTGTTTGTCATTTTGTGATATGTACCAGTGAATTGTGTTTTTAATTTTTCTTTTTTATCCTACCATGTAGTAAAAGCACTCTGGATCAGATGATGGTTTCTCCTGCAAAGGTTTGAATCCTACCAGAGGGCACATTTTCTTTATTAAGTTTTTTTGAGTATACAGGCAGGTAGATGAAATAAATACAGTTTATAGGAAAAACTGACAACTTTACATTTGTAGGAAAAAGAATAGCATAATCAGTTGACTGCACATGACTTTAACTTGCTTGACACAAATAAAATTGGCAGCAACCATTGTAAGCATAAACAAGCTGACTAAATTTTATATTTATCCATTGCAGGTCAAAGTTGGCATTAACAAAACTACTGAATTATTTCCATCATTTATTTCATGATCTTTTAAATATTTTGTGTGTGTGTGTGTGTGTGTGTGTGTGTACATCATATATATATATATATATATATACACACACACACATCAAAAGAAAAGATCAATACATCATTAAAGAGTTTGTTAATCATTTCGGACAGACAACTGCCTCATCAGACCGGTGCTATAAAATGGTTTAAATCAGTGGTCACAACCAATTTTTGACCATGCCCCACTTTGGTATTTCTAAAATTCTGGTGCCCCCCCCTGTAATATTTAATTCTTACATGTATACCAATTACACATATATGTACATACACACAAAATATTTTTATGTATGCATACTATATATGCATTGTATGTATTAATACATATTAACATTAACACTCTCATTAAGACTCACTAGAAAACAATTCACTGCTAATAACTCATTCTCAAATTGCCCCTTTATTCTGTTGGTATAGTAAGCTGAAGGGTGCACATCCTATGCATGCCCCACCAAAATATTACCATGCCCCACCGGTGGAGCATATGCCTCACATTGGGAATCGTTTAAATCATCCAAACAATTTATGAAAAAATTACAAGAAGATATGAATAAAAGATTTGACCTAAAAAAATCCTTGAAGAGATAAGAGGAAGGCGGGAAGAAAAACAAGAGTGTTAATCCAATGAGCAGGGCTGATAGAGGAAATACAAAGTTACAGCCAGTGAAATACATGGAAAATAAGTCAAATTTATATCATCATTATCTAATGTAAAAAATTATCATTGAAACCATTTTATAACTCTAGTCTGGTGAGGCAGTTGTCTATTTGAAATTATTACCAAACTATTTAATGATGTATTGAGTTTTTCCTTTGATGTCTATCATATTGCTCTGTATTTTGACACATTGAGCTCTCTTCATGGGTCTATCTTTTTTATATTTTATATTAAAATGATAT